TTTATACTTTTATTCGTATTTCAATTCATTTATTTCTTCCACTTAACTGCAAATTAGAATAGAAACTGGATAAAGAAGCATACAAACAAACTGTATAGGTACCTATAATTATAGGTACTGTACATTGGTATGGGTCAATGATGCTAATATTTGGCACAAATGCATCAATTTCACCTTTCTGGCTGTTCTTCTATGAATAAATTATGTAGAAGCACAGTCAATGTGTGTTTTCTTGTCAGTTAGTAACACTATATTTCATTGCGCAACAATTAGTCTATCAGGATTTTTGGCAAAAAAAAAAAAAAAAAAAGGGAAATCACAGTTTAATTTGTTATTATTAGATTATTTTTAAATTTCACCTTTCCTGTTGTGCATGAGCCAAGCTGTTGAATGGTCAGTGTATGAAGCAGCTATGGCTTTAGCTTCAATATTGCGGAAATTATTTTCTAATTGGTTGTGTGTTTATTAATATACCCCTGTAATACATACTGCAGTCCTTTTTGTCTGGCTTTCTTAGATATCTCACCTGTTTGCCAAAAATTTGTAATTAAATACATATTGTAATAGACGTGACAGGCATGAAAGCTTGACAGGCGTAACAACAGTAACTAAGGAGGTTGGGAATTAGTGAAGGGTCAATTGTCAATACAAACAGAGGGCGATTCATATTCTCAACTCTTGAGTCGACTCTATTTTAAGAATCAGTAGTTTTAAACAGTGGATTTTCAGATTTTAACCTCAGCTGATGTTTTCATTCACTTACAGCTGTGTCACACTGCATGCAAGGTCATTTTTAAAACCGCATAATAGGGACTCTAATATACCAAAGATTTTTTTGGCATAAAATAAAAATCAATCATATTGAACTCCTACAATGTATTGTTTACGATTCCTACAAAAGTACACATGGTTTTGTGGATCAGGGTCACATACATCTACATCAGGAATTCTTCATGGACACCTGACAGCATAATGGCATCTAAAAGTGTGTGCTACGTAACTGGGGAGAGTAATTCATCTGGCCGTTACATATCAAGGACTGACTTACTGTAACTGGAGAGTTTATTGAATGTAAATGACATCACAAGCCACTTGAAAAGATTAGAAGCTGAATTCAATTCTAGCATGTGAGAGCAGCACTAAATCCACAGAATTTCAACTAAATCAAAACAACTAAAAATCGACTGGTTTAATCAGGACAGGAGTATTATGAACATGAAAATAAATGTGCAAATTATTTTACTTTATTAATGTGTAAAAAGATTATGATGAAAGCTCTAGAATATGGCAGCATAGAAACATATGCATAAAACATGACAAAGCCTTATTTAATGTGAGATAAACAGATAAAACCAGAAGGAAGAAGACAACATATTTAAGAACTTACAGTCATTCATATCAACCACAGACAACAAAAACTATTGCTTCAGCTTAATCTGCAATTATGACAAATATAAATGATCAAATCTTAAAACACAGTAAAGAAATATATTCGTTTTAAAAAGCACTTACCTTTCCCACAGTCATGGTCACAATTCTGAATGTAACTCTTCACAAAATTTTTGGGAGTCTGTTAAGAGCTGTACTGTACAAGAGACTGTGTATAGTGAACCTATGATGCTAAACATAGATGGTGATGATGCTGTACTGCGGAAATAAAGCTCAGAGCCCCTCCCTCACTCTGAAAGGCATTCTAGCAACATGCAGGTTTTAAAACGCCATTGACTGAGGCTTGGACTGTACCAATTAAACTGGCTGAAGTGGGGGTGGCAGCCTATCCTGATATGATGCATATTAAGCTGTGCATCAGTATTGCAACATTTGTCCAGACTCCAGAGACATCCTGAGGTTTTTTTTTTTACAGCAGTGGTTCCCAACCTTTTTTTTGTCTGGGACCCCCTTTCCCCTGGAAAACATTGTAAGGCCCCTCTCCACATTTAATGATATTATCGCTTATGTAAGTTTGCAGTAGGTATGATAAAAAAGGTTGTTTTCAAACTTTACTACTATATCTATGTTTATTACTATATCTAGATATGTTTATGCACAAATAATACCCTAATGTAAAATTTAAAGGCAAAAAATCAGTAGGCCATTTGTATTGAGTGCACCTTGCAGTATTGGGGATGAGTCGTCTGCAAATGTCTTTAGAATTTGAAAGGCCTCATGCTTTTGTTAGCAAGAACTTTGATGCAGATAATGCACTGTGGCTGGGTCAGGGACTCTTTGCTTCAAGAAAATAGAATAAAACCATAGTTCAGGTAACTATCTAGGTATTATTTCCTGCATTTTGTGTTTCCAATATTGCTAGTGTTGCTAACCTGAAATGCTTGGAGCTTTCTCACCTGTATGCTTGGGTCTTAACTATTAGCTGCCGAAGGCGAATCAGTGAGACTACAAATTTGTCCATTTTTTGGTCAGTTAGGGGATAAAATGAACTAAGGCAACATGATCATTCTCCTAAATGTTCACTGCTAAAAAAAAAATAAAAATAAAATATGACACAACCCCCCACAGATCTTGCTGAGGCCCCCCTGTTTGGACCCCCCTGTTGGGAACCGCTGTTCTACAGCACTAAAACACAATGATAAAAATGTAGTTGAGTTGCTTCCAACAGAAAATAAAAAAGGTGGTTAAGTTATTAATATTTAGAGAATAATTGTGAAACGTAGTACCTCTCTCAACTTCAAGTAAAAATATGCATTTGGCACTCTACTAAAGTGTAAAGGGCATTACCTCTTGATTGATGCATAAGTCATGCATTTTTTATTTATATGTTATAATAATACCTTATGATTGTGAAGGATTCGGATTTCTGCTTTCCAATCCGTCTCATCATGGACCAACGTTTATCCTTTTCATCATCCTGTTTCTCAGTATTTAACTGTGAATTGATTTTAACTAACGAATAAGTTAAAACTGCTTACTGCAAGAATGTTCTGTGTCCTTGTTTCTCTTTTTGCCTGTCTATTTTAACTTGGTTTTCAGGAGACACACAAACCAGGTCATAGGTCATGGAGACCTCTCTCTCTCCATCTGGTCTTATGATTAGAGGTCCAATACAGAGGAGAAGAAGACACCTGTTTTATTGTCCTGATATATTGCCTATAATTTTATAGCTGTTTGATTGATCTGTTTTTGAGTATAATTAATAGTAATGTAATTCCTTTTTGTGTGGAGACAGACTGTGTGTAGCCAAGATATTGCAGCAGACTGTTGATGGAAACAGTCTTGAACCAGCCTGATAACACAGCTGAACGTACAAGAAACATCTTTGAGTCTTTAACACAGATGGTCTTTTGTGTCTATTGTGTTCCTGGTTTAGCTTTTTACAGGTTGGAGATCAGTTCCTAATAACTTAGGGCGACCTCACCTCTAGGCATCAGGTCGCCATCCATATCTGGATACAAATACAAGGCTTTCTTTGACGCACACACTAAGGCCATCCATATCTGGAAGTAGATACTATGTTTCTTTGACGCATGTATTTAGAATTGTCTATTTCTGTTGTAACCAATGAGAACTGTTTACCTGGATCCCACCCTTTCTGGACTTGTGTAAAGAGTATAATTGTTTGATTGTTGAAACTGTAAGCAGAGCGGCCTAGGAACTCATTGAGAGTGTTGAAGCTGGCTTCTGCGAATGAAACTGCAAACTATCTTCAGTAAACTTAATTTATTTTTTTAAAATCTCTGACTCCGGCGCTTCTTCATCAACCAGACTGGTCATTCTTTGGGTTAAACTGTAAACTATCCCTACAATTGATAACGTCAAAGACTAAAATTTATATTTTAAATGATTGCAAAAGTGCTTAGAAAATCTACTGGTATGCAGTACAGCTAATATAAAGATTTCTAAAAAAATTAATTAGTACAGTATTTTGGTGCTGCACTGTGACTTTTCAACAATATTTTTATACTTTATCCTTAAAATCTGCTATATACTGTACACTGAGTGATATCTGCTGCATAAAACATATGCCAGGGCATTGTGTGGTTCAATCTACTGTGGCGATCCCTTAAAAGTTGGGTGCTAAGCTGAAGGATAGTGAGTGAGTGAGTTTTACACTGAGTGATATTGGTGTGATCTCTTAAATAAAGCCAATTTTTACTCCGAAATAAACAGGGCACAATCTAGTGAACAAAAACTTCTGTTTTAGTGTACTTTTATTAATACTTCATGATAAATTAAATAGATAAAATCTATCTATCTATCTATCTATCTATCTATCTATCTATCTATCTATCTATCTATCTATCTATCTATCTATGTTTATATGCAAGTATAATAAAAAAACAGCTTGTATTATGCTTGAAACCTGAATTTTACCGTTAGTAGCCTCCTCTTGTTGGTCTCCCTACAGTTTGTCACATCAAGTTATTATATTCTAATAATAATCATACAATTGTCATTACATTCTAATTATTTTAATAAATTATTCTTAACGACTAGTTTAAATATAAAATTAAACGATCTGTAATGCTACGTTATAGCAATATCTTATTAAAAAACATTTTAAAGCATTTTAACCAGAACACAATGCAACAAGACGTATAACCCAAATGATGCAGCCCTACTTAAAGCAGATAAAATGCAGATCAAAATGTTTCCTTTTAAGCTATTTATTCACAATAATGATTTAAATACAAATAACAGTGATGTGCTGTTACAATAACAGGATCTCTGTGTCATCATATTCAGCTGAAATTAACACAATATCATGTTGACACTTGTTTTTCTTTGGAATACTAATGGATTAAAACAAGCACAATTGCAATGTTAATCACCAAAATAATGCTTTAATTGAGATGAATGAAACGACTAATGGATGTGCCCTCCGCAACCAGCATGTTTGGTTTTTAGAACTCATTTACATCTGAATTGTTCCTCGAACCCATAGGAATTTCTTAAATGGATAATTCACCCAAAACCATAAAATCACCTCATTATTAACTTTCCCTTATCTAGTTATAAACCCTTTTTTTCCCCAAGTTTTTTTCTTCTGTTGAAAACAAAAGATATTTAGAAGAATGCAGAAAGACGACTTCAATAGATGTACTTACTATGCAAGTCAATGGGTACCAGCATTTTTAAAATATCTTTTTTTGTAATCTACGAGGTTCAAATAGGTTTTAAATAAGTTTTGGGTGAACTACCCCTTTAAATGCAGTCAAATATTTATCTTAATGTATAACCCAAACTACAACCTAGTCTTATAATATTACATATGAAATGAAACTTTTAAATTCCACTTAAAGGTGGTGTCAGTTTTCCAGTGGAAAACTGAACAGACATTCATCTGTGAATCAACAACTGTGAATGCCTAATTTAACAATGGCACAACAGTTTGGCATTCAGACTGAACACATTAAATGGTCCACAGTGCAAGTACAGATTACAGAGCTTAACAACTCAAACCGTTTAAAATCAATAAATAGCCCAATTATAAATATGTAAAATATCAGTGTCTTCCAAAAAAAAGGCAGCTCAGCTGATGATTGTAGGTTGTTTACTAAAGCTAGCAGCAGACTAATGTGAAAGCTGAATGTACTGTCAGGTAAATTACTGGAGCTTTGTTTGAAGCCACAAAACTTCAGCAGGTTTAGATGTGACCTCTCAGATTACAAATTGTTTTTTTAGAAACACCAGCTGCCCTCCGCTTTACTTATAGACCAAACAAAACAATAACAAAGCTGAAATGTGTAGCTTGTTGTAGTGCGTTTGTTTAGTTTTCATACTAAGTATGTTGTTTCGGCTGTGGAGGGAGACCAGGAGAAAAAAGCTTCAGATACCAAACCTTATAGGTCATGTACCATCCCAATATCCCACAAGAGGTCCCTAGAATCTTGTCAATAATATCGTGGAAATACACTGACGTGCATCCGAACATCCATATCCAGATGGCCACAATCACATTAAGAGCTAGATAAAGACAATCAAGAGGAGGGTTTCTGTAGGCAGGCTGTATGTGTAACATGGGCACCATTTCCTCCATAATAACTAGTGAAGAGTAGCTCAAGATGAACGAGTGTCCTGATATGTCAAAACCATCCCAGAAGAAGCCAGCTTTCCTGCATGCCGCCTTTGTGTCAAATTCACCACGGATGACTACCATGGTATTGGACTCATAGCACGAACCTGTAATGTCTTCAATGTAGAAAAAGGTCTCAGTGCAGATGTACCAAACGAGGGTTGCCACCAGTAATGACGTCAGCCGCCTCAAAGCAAACATGTGGCTTTTGATGTAAAAGTTGGAGTAAGCTATGAAAGGCAGAAGCAAAACAATGGTCCATCCCCAAGAAACCTTCACAAAATAACTGAAAAAAAAAGAAGTTATAACATTAAACGACTTTTGAGTCAAACATCAATGTCATGAGTAGTTGTCAATGACATTTAAGATTGTATTACGAAGTATTATTACACATTTATATAGAACACACTAATATAACATATATCTACTGAAACTAATTTAGTTTTACATAGTTATTAGTCAGTTCTTGCTAGGTATTAGACTTGTACTCACAGATTTAAAACATTTCTACTGCTACTGAAGTAGCTCTCCGGCACGAGCTCCGCATTTTTCAAAACCGAGCCAACTAACGAAATACAAAAGAATAAATGCGGCAAATAAATACGTGTATAAGGCTGTCTCCAAAGACAAACCAATTTGTCCACTAAGCTGCCTGCAACGGCAGCAGCCATGTTGTTCTGTGTGCTGTGTTGTGAGTGTGTACTGTGTAATATGAATGCGGAAACAGAAACCACGACGCTCAATTCTTCAACGGTGACACGATATTTAATATTCATGAGCAAACCTTGGCCATTGGAGAATCTTCAAGCAACGTCAGCGCTATCCTATTATTATTCATGAGCAAAACCTTCGCCCTAGTATTAGCAGTAGGCTTGTATGAGTTGCGTAATATTTCACAATCGAGAATCAGGTGAATTGCTACTTTAGAGTCGCCATCACATATACGAGTGTGTATTCAAATCTTTGTATCACAAAACGAGCATAATAAATGACAACAAGAAAAAAAAACATTGGTTGAATCAAATGTGAATGAACATGTTTAAAAGTTTTAAGATATTAAATACAAATGTAAAAACACAAGATACGTTTTGTCAACATTAATTTTCATGTAGATTTCCAGAAAGAGTAACAGTTTTTTAAAATATATATTTTAACTATCCAATAGGTGGCACTATAACACAGTCACGAAAATCTTTTTAATCATTGCCTGGATACATTTAGGAATCGAGTGTGAAAAATATTAAAGATAAGACTTTTATGAACAGCAGGTAATCTTGAAAACATTTTTAGTTGAATGTGTCTAAATATTTACAATCCAAGGACAACCTTTACCATGTAATTCATTTTTAAAACTGATTGCATGGATAGTTACGTCATGTACCCAACTGAAAAATTAATATAGGCTACAATTTTTAAGCACATTTTCACAGAGACTTTTCCTAATTGACATCGTTTTTTCCTGAATAAAGAAACTTACCACATATATACTGAACATTAATTAAATACTGTAAGTCTTTACTAGAGTTCACTAAAAGTTGAATTGAGCACCTTTGGGCTGTGGCAAAATCAAGGGCCTTGTTAGGGTCGAAAGGGATAAGGGGCTTAGCCCCTTAGTTTTGTCAAGATACTGGAATTTCTAAATTCAATACCTCACAAAATATTGATATTTAAAAGACTACTATTTTTGATATATTAACAATTAAGTTTACTTTAAATGTCTTTAGAGGGAGATTTTTTTAGTTTTCCTCAAAATAGGTTGATGTGGGCATTGTAGCACTTTAAATGCATGTAATGCCTGTTTCATTCACACTTGAGCAGAAATTCCATAGATGCCTCACAAAAGTAGTAGAACATTCCAGGAAAATCCCTAACATGGATGAAGGAATCCAGCTTTTGCTGTAGTTGAATGAATGAAAATAAGATCTGAATAAACATAAAAAAGGCTTTAACTGGTCATTTACACGACTGCCACAATAAATGGTTTATATGTGTTATCCAGCCATTTTAGGTATTTCCATTAGAATAAAGTTGATTTATAATAATATAATAATATTAAATAATATCGTAAATAATTGATAAAGCATGTTATAATAGAAGCTATAAAATAATAAGCTAGATGCATGAACTTACTGCAATTTAACTATTACAGAAACAGATGTGCCTGGCTATATCATATCATATCTACACTGTAAACGATTTCTTGTTAAATTAACAGTAAGTTACTGGCAACAATTATCCAGTAGCTGCTGTATTTCATAAAACAGTAACATTACTGTAATACTAATTACATTAGTATTACATTTACTGTAAAATGTAATACATCATTTTACTGTTGTTGATTTTTACTGTAACACCAATTACAGTAGTGATACACATACTGCAAAACTGAAAACAGTATTTTATTGTACATTTTTACCATGAAGAACTACGGTATTTTAATGTTACTTTCATTATTACTGTATAGTATTTTACAGTTATTAAATGTTATTTTATTTTATTTAATAGTGCTACTTTATAATGGGTAAAAATGTTCAAAAATTGCACAAGTGTTATTTTACCTGTTCAAGAAATACAAGAAAAATAAAGAAACTGAAACTTTAACTTCACAATAAAGGTTTATTATGTAAACCCAACTAAAACAGTAGCAATAATTCAATATAACAGTGCAACAGAACACTAATAAACAATTGATCATTAAAACCAGTCAACAATTAATGCATCAAAAATTATTACAATTTTAAAAACAGGTGAAAATACTGCTACAAGACAGGAAATGATGAAGGCCAAATGATGTGGAAAGGGACAGTGAAAAAGGGCAGCAGCACTTCTGATGATCCTGCAAAAATGACCAGCAAAATCAATCACTGAAGTAAAAACTAATCATCCCTCAAACCATTTAATTCATTCAGAAACGAATCACTGCACTGTTGTTTTTATATATATAAAGATCAGCGGGCATTGTTCTTGAAGATTGCTAGTCAGGTGTCCACACAGGTGTGTAAAAAATAAAGTCTCATCTTAACTTAATGTCCGACTCTGTATAGCTCGAATATCTGATTCCATGATCACACTACTAGTGCTTCCACGGATTTAAGAGGGGTGAACACAGTTCATTCTCACTTTAAGATAGTCATATTTAAAATTAAATAAATAAAAAATAATCTAATTTAACGTGATTAATGTTAATTAAATACTTTTAGGCTTTTAACACGTATAAATCCACTTCTAACTTACAGATAAGATTGCGTTAGAGAACATGAAAGCCGTGGGTGATTTTTTAAAATAATGCTAATGATGAGTTACTGATATTTGGTTTGCATAAAACAAAGTAATCACTAAGCATTCATTTTTGGCAAAATCTGCAGAGAGGTTCAGCGACACGAGGAAATGTGTTAAAGTTGAGTAGAGAACTAAAGAGCAGTCTAGCCTACTTCATGAAATGTTTGTGGTAATATTCTGCTGACAATTTATATTACTGTATTTCAATATGCAGCAGTGATGGCATGTCAGCAAGACAAATAAACATTTTATCGAGTCATTTCATACAATTTATTTATTTATTTATTTTTTATACAAACCCTCTAGTGACATTTCCTCAAACTAAATCATCATAACGTTACTGTGCACAGCATCAGTAAAACGTTGAGAATAATTTAAATACTTAATTTTTTAAAACAGTCACTGCTGATTAGAAATTAACATTAAAGCTAAGCTTACAGAAATCCTGTATGCATGACAATATAAATATGTATTACTCACTGATGTCGAAGCACTTCCAGGTCATCAGAGATGTAGACAGGACAGAATATGTGCTATCAAATGAGCTCTTGTGCAGCCTTTGTTGGACATCCAGGTAGTATGTTTACCCACACTGTAAGAAACAAAAACAGAAACAATTTATTAAAATGTGAGGGATAGTAAACATGTTTGGTCTACAGAGAGAAGAAAATGTTTACTTTAAGCATTGATCCTAATGAAACTATTTCTCAACTACATTTAACCTTATCACGGAAACAGCATTTTTGAGCTTTTAGACCAGGGGTGCTCAACCTTGTTTGCTTTAAATTAGAATTAAAACAATAAATCTCTATGTCAAATAAAATACTTCAGATCTAAATAAAGCAGGTGCTTTTACCTAAAGGTTCCTTCCCTCCAGTTAGTTTGGCTGCAGATCCCTCCACATCTGTGCTTTATTCGGTTCTTGTCTTAAGAGTAACTGGTGTCGCATTCCAGGTCCATCACAATCTGGGCTAGAAGGACAATATGACAAAAGACAAGACACATATAAATAAGTCTCAGAATAAAATATTTAAAGGAATAGTTTACTATTTTGCCACTATTTACGTGTTTTAAACTAGTTTGAATTTTTGTTAAACACTAAAGCAGATATTTTGAAAAATGTTAGTAACCAGTAACTATTGACATCCATATTTGAACCAAATTTCTTTAAAAAATACGAGTTTGTGTTCAACGGAACAAATTAAATATATAACTATTTTGAAACAAGTGGAGGATGCCTGTAACTGCCCATGATTTAATGTACTCGCTTTGCTTGCCCTAATTGGAGTCACCACAGGAGGGCGCTCTAGACTAATAGGATTTAAGTGAGACAAAGCAGAGTAAGAGCAATTCACGTTTGTTCATGAGCTAACAGGTACAGCTCGGAAGAATGCCTTGAGCTTTTAGTGTCCCTTCGGCAAGCAGAGCGAGGTATGTTTTGTTTATTGTTTGATTTATTTGGAAAATGTTAGATGTTTTGTAAATGTTTGTTGTTTATTTTTCTATGTTGTTTGTTTGTTTGTTTTCTCTAGTTTTACGGTGCTTTGGTGCTTTTGGTGCCTTTGGTCTTTTGATGCTTCTGTGTATACAACAAAGAACTGAGACGATGATTTATGTGATGAGCTTTATTGCATCCAAGTAAACCTTTTTAAATGCACCCGTCAAAAACTCTCTGCCTATTCTTTGAAAGCTGAAGGGCTGCTACAGTAAAACTCGCTGCTACACATGGCGTTTGCATCACGTTGGTGATTCATCACATGAGTGTCATGTAACAAGCCTTCATCTCGTCTGTGGCACTGCATGGTATCTACAACAGACTGAATCTACACTAGGACGGCGACTTTACACGGTTAACTGGGAAAACTCTTCATGAAAGACTGAAAGGTGACTGCAAACAAACGTTGTGGACTCAGAGGTACAAGAAAAGGAAAAATATTTATCTATTTATTACTTTTGGGATAATTGCAATTTTTAAAGAAAAAAAAGGATTTATATTTGTATGCTTTGTTGAATTTGTATGCAGTAATTGAAGTTTGAGAATGAGGAGTGACTAATGATTTAAGTGCTCATGTTTCAAGGTGTTTGTGTAATGTTGGGCTTATATTCATGATGCATGTATTAGACAAATGTTTGCAATTTTTAAAGTGCTTAAAGTCTTAAGAGTTTATACTGTTGTTGCACATGTGATTTTGACTTATTACCTTTGCTATAATATTTTAGGTGTTTAAATTTGTCTGATGTAAGCAGGTTGCTGATTTAAGTTGTAGACAGACAAAATGGACGACACAGCGGAGCAAATGGCGGCACAAGCAAGTCAAAGGTCAGTTCTTGATAAAGATCTGAATAGTACAACAGAAATGCAACAGGTTAGATCAAGATCAAGCTCTCGAAAAAGAAATCCCACAGAAAAGGGTTTAGAAATGCAAAAACAAGAGACAAAAAAGCACGAGAAAGCCTTTAATAAAGCTTATACTTCCTGGAAGCAGACAGCTAAAGAAATTAGATGTAAATTAAAAGCCTTATGCACATGTGAAGAGCTTGAGCAAATTTTGAAAGACATTCAAACTAGTCAGGATGTTGTCACTCAACATTATGCCCCACTTCTGCGTAATCAAACTGCTACTCCAGAGATTGTAAGAAGAGTAGATGTTTGTTCCATATTGAGTACAGAAATTTGTGATTTGGTGAGCAAACGAATAGAAACTGTTGATGTCATTCAAAAAAGGGAAGTAGTTAAAGAGAGAGTTAGGCAGATATTGAACAAAGAGGAGTATGAGTCTATATTTGGTTGTACCAATACAGAGACCATTATCTCAGTATCGTCACAGACTGTAGAAAGTTCGTCAGCTGTCTCAGAAACTTCCTCTGAAGCTTCAAGTAAACGAGCTGATGCAGAGGCAGAACTTGCGGCTAAAGTAGAGCAGAAAAGGGCCATTCAAGAAATTTCCAATCAGCAAGCTCGACTAGTTAAACTGGAGAATGACTGGAAGCTGGAAGAAGCAAGAATGTTAGCGGATATTAAACAGAAAGAAATTGAAATGCGCTCCAAGTTAGAAGAAGAAAAAGCAAAATTGCAATTGTTACAAGCGGAAAAAGATGTCAGCGTAGCTGCAGCTCGAGTGAAAGCTTATAACAATGCAGAAAGTTGTCTTGAAGAGAGCAGTTTGGAAGACGACGAGACTGGAAATGTCATTTATCCTGAACGAAGAAAAGCTTCTAACAAACCTCAACGTAATCTTGTGATAAATCCATTACCTTCACAAACATTTCAAGAAGAAAAGAAAACTAAAGAGACTGAGAATTTAGCTCAAGCATTAGTGAATTCCTTAAGTATAAGTCGTTTACCTGTTCCAGAACCAACCACTTTTAATGGCGATCCTCTGAAGTTTATTGAATGGAAAATGTCCTTCACAGCACTCATTGATTGTAAATCCATCCCAGCAAGTGAGAAAATGTTCTATTTAAAAACCTATCTTGCAGGAGAAGCTCGTAAGGCCGTAGAAGGGTTCTTTTATAAGAACTCTGATGATACATATCAGGGTGCTTGGAGGAGAGGTATGGAAACCCATTCATTATTCAGCGTGCTTTTCGAGAGAGACTCATGAGATGGCCCAAGGTGGGAGTAAACGATCCATTTTCCTTGAGAGAGTTCAGTGATTTCTTGCAAGGTTGTGTTGAAGCTATTCCACAAGTCAAAGGTTTGTCCATCTTGAATGATTGTGAGGAAAATTACAAGTTGCTTAAGAAGTTACCAGAATGGATTGTCCGTAAATGGAACAGAATTGTTGTTGAAGAGTTGGATATGACAGGAGACTATCCAAGTTTTAAGCAATTTGCTGAATTCTTGAAGAAGGAATCAAAGATAGCTTGCAACCCTTTCACTTCTCCACTGCTAGCCAGTTCAAAGGTTCCAGATGAAAAGTATCTGAAAAGAGCAAAAGCTTTCAATATTAAGGCTCAAGTAAAAGATTCAAGACCAGAATTCAAGGTAACATCACCATGTTCGGTGTGTAAGAGTGAAATGCATAGTATCGTCAAATGTCCTATCTTTGCAGAGAAGCCTATGGATGATAAAAGATCTTTCATTCGTGAAAATCACATGTGTTTTGGATGCTTGAGAAGAGGGCATATTTTTAGGCACTGTAGGAGACGGCATATTTGTGGAACATGTGGACTGCGTCATCCAACTTGTCTACATGAAGATAAAAGCAAATATTCAGAGGTATCCCAAGCAGATATTACAGCAGAAGCATATACAAGTCAAGAAGGCCAAAGGGCAATGTCTTATGCAGTAACACAACATGTCTCTGCTACTTCTAGTATTGTTCCAGTGTTTATCTCCACAGTAGAAGAGCCACAAAATGAGATCCTTACCTATGCCTTACTCGATACACAAAGTGACACAAGCTTTATTTTGAAGGATTTTATTGATGAGCTGCAAGTGAGCAGTCAAGCGGTGAAGCTGAAACTCAGTACTATGACAACTACAGACACGATTACTTCAAGTAACAAGGTTAGTGGTCTGCGAATCCGAGGACTTCAAGGTGGGAAATGTATCCAAATACCTCAAGTGTATACGTGTGATTTCATTCCTGTGGATAAAGCTCACATTCCAACGAAGAAAACTGCATTATGCTGGTCTCATCTTAAGCACATAGCCAATGAAATGCCACCACTTCAGAGTTGTGATATAGGACTATTGATTGGATATGACTGCCCTTCAGCGTTGGCTCCCCTAGAGGTCATAATTGGTAAGGAAAATGAGCCTTTTGCACAGAAAACTGCTCTGGGCTGGAGCATTATCGGTCTTTGTAATCCCCACTTGGACAGACAAGGAAGTCAAAGTTTTGTTCATCGAGTGTCTGTGAAAGAAATGAGAGTTCCAACAGCTAATGATGTCTTGAAAGTTTTGGAGTGTGACTTTAATGAGAAAAGTTATGAAGACAAATATGTGTCACAGGAAGATGTCCGCTTTATTCGTTATCTCAGTGATAACATCAAGCATAAAGAAGATGGACATTTTCAGTTACCTCTTCCTTTCAAGAGCAGCAATCCACCTTCACTCCCTAACAACAAGAGGCTGGCTTTATTACGTCTGCAGCATTTAGGTAAGAAGTTAAGGTCAAATCAACAGTACCATGAGAATTACAAGATTTTTATGGAAGAAATGCTCAACAAGGGAGATGCAGAGATTGCTCCAGTAATACCTGATAAAGAAACAGCTTGGTATATACCACATCATGGAGTTTACCACCCTCACAAGCCAGACAAGTTAAGAGTAGTATTTGATTGCTCATCAAAATTCTGTGGCATATCTCTTAACGATACTCTTCTTACTGGTCCAGATTTGATTAATTCTCTGGTGGGAGTACTTTGTAGATTCAGGAAGGAAGCCGTTGCTGTGACATGTGACATCGAAAAGATGTTTCATCAATTTCATGTCCCCCCTGAAGAGAGAGATTATTTAAGATTCCTATGGTGGAAGAATGGGGATTTGAAAGAAGAGCCCATTGAATATAGAATGACTGTGCATCTTTTTGGTGCAGCTTCATCTCCTGGGTGTGCGAACTTTGGCCTGAAGTATCTCGCAGAGAAGTACAAATCTGAGTATTCTGAAGCCTCTTCATTTGTGAATAATAACTTTTATGTGGATGATGGCTTAATTTCAGTTCCATCTATACAGGAAGCTAAAGATTTGATTGCAGAAGCTAAAACCCTGTGCAAGCTTGGAGGGTTACGTCTCCATAAGTTTAACTCAAATGAGAAAGAAGTCTTGCGCTGTGTGGATTCGTCAGAGTGGGCGGTTTCTTCTAAGCCACTAAATTTGACTCCTGAATCGTCTGGGCATGTTCTTGGCATACAGTGGTCTACAAAGGATGACACATTCAGTTTCAACACTCAACTTAAAGATCAGCCTGCAACACGTCGAGGTATCTTGTCAATTGTATCTTCCTTATACGATCCCATTGGATTTGTTGCTCCTTTCCTTTTGAAGGGAAAGTGCATTTTGCAGGAGCTCTGTCAGAGAAATATGGAATGGGACGATTCTCTCCCTGATGACTTAATTCCACGGTGGGAGGAGTGGAAAAATAGTCTCCAGGACTTGAAAGATTTTACTGTTCCAAGATGTTACTATCCTTCGTCCTTTAGTAAGATTGTGTTGACAGAGTTGCATCATTTCTCAGATGCAAGCAACCTTGGTTATGGTGCATGTTCCTACTTAAGAGTCAAGAGTGACAAAAATGAAGTGCATTGTTGCCTAGTAATGGCCAAGGCTCGAGTGGCACCTATAAAAATCAAGAGTATTCCAAGACTGGAATTGGCTGCTGCGGTGGTTTCTGCTAGACTGAGTGTTTTGCTAAAAGCTGAACTGCAAATGATGATCGATCAAGAGTTCTTTTGGTCCGATTCCCAAGTTGTTCTTGCATATCTCAACAATGAAGCAAGAAGGTTTCACGTGTTTGTCGCTAATCGTGTTCAATTGATCAAGGAAATTACAAATACAAGCCAGTGGTATCATGTCAACACATCTCAAAATCCTGCTGACCATGCCTCTAGAGGTTTACTCATTTCAGAGTTGAGATCTACTAACTGGATGACTGGACCTACATTTTTATGGGACCAAGAAGTGTGTCCAGCTCCAAACACTTCAACTAAATTACTAGTAGGAGATCCTGAAGTCAAACTTGTACAGGTACGGCTGACTAAAAGTAGTGATACTGCTAACTTCCTTGATCGATTTGGCCACTTCTCTTCCCTGAGAACTCTAATCAATGTTGTTGCTCGAATAAAAAGGCTAGCATTAAGGAAGAAATGTCTTAAGGATATTGTCACCGTTGAAGAACGCAAGTGTGCATTACAGGCTGTGATTAAGCTTATTCAAGAACGAGCCTTCTCCCAAGAAATCCAAACAATCCAAGGAGGTAAGGCTCTTCAGAAGTCCAGTTCACTTTTCCACCTGGATCCCATCTTGAAAAATGGTCTTCGTGTTGGAGGAAGGTTGAAAGGATCATCTCTTAGCGAAGAGGTTAAACATCCATTAATTTTGCCCAAAGAGAGCCACATTACCAACCTTATTCTAAAACACTATCACAGCAAAATTTGCCATCAAGGAAGGTCCCAAACGCTTATGGAACTCAGGACACATGGATTTTGGATTATTGGTGGCAGTAAGTCGGTTGCTAAGTTAATCTACAATTGCGTTCAATGTCGGAAACTCAGGCGACCAGTGGAGGAACAACAAATGGCAGAACTTCCAAAAGAACGTACTGAAGCCTCTTCCCCGTTCTGCTACACGGGTATGGATTGTTTTGGTCCATTTATTATAAAAAAGGGACGAAAGGAGTACAAAAGGTACGGCCTTCTTTTCACTTGCCTTTCATCACGAGCAGTCCACATTGAAATGCTTGAAGACCTATCAACAGACATGTTCATTAATGCTTTGAGATGTTTCATAAGTCTGCGAGGAGCTGTTCGTCAACTTTATTGCGACTGTGGTACAAACTTTGTAGGAGCTAGAAATGAATTCAAACAGGCTCTTAAGGAATGCGATGTCAAAACACTGGAGAGATATCTTGCGGAAAATCAGTGTGAGTTTATCTTTAATGCTGCCTCAGCTAGTCACTCAGGAGGTGTCTGGGAACGCCAAATTAGGATTGTGCGTAATGTGCTGAATTCTACTCTTTCTTTGTGCCCTGGTAGACTGGATGACTCTTCTCTAAGAACATTGTTTTATGAAGCGATGGCTATTGTTAATAGTCGACCATTAACTGTGGATGGAATAAACGACCCAAAATCACTAGAACCTTTAACTCCTAATCATCTTGTTTTACTGAAATCCGAGACTGCTCTTCCTCCCCCAGGGAAGTTTCTAAAGGAAGACGTGTATGCTACAAAAAGGTGGCGCAGGGTTCAGTACTTGATTGAACAGTTTTGGAGTCGTTGGAAAAGGGAATATCTCCTGAATATATCCACAAGACAGAAGTGGCACGTACCTCGACGTAATCTTAAAGTAAATGACATTGTAATCATTAAAGATGACATGCTTCCTAGAAACAAATGGCAGTTAGGTAGGGTTGTTGAGGTTTTTCCAGGTAACGATGGCCTTGTTAGACGCGTTAAAGTTCAAACAGGAGAACAAAAACAGAAAACGGGGTTGGGGCACCATTCTTCACATTCAGTTATTGAGCGACCAATCCAAAAATTGGTTGTAATAGTTGAGAGTGATTAGTTGCAACTTTCTTGCATCAGACAAATAATGTTAATTTTGTATGTGGATTTATTTTGTGAGTTAAATTTGAAGTTAAAATCATGTATGATATTTGTTTTGTTTGTTTGATTCATACCATGATTTGGTGGGAGTGTAACTGCCCATGATTTAATGTACTCGCTTTGCTTGCCCTAATTGGAGTCACCACAGGAGGGCGCTCTAGACTAATAGGATTTAAGTGAGACAAAGCAGAGTAAGAGCAATTCACGTTTGTTCATGAGCTAACAGGTACAGCTCGGAAGAATGCCTTGAGCTTTTAGTGTCCCTTCGGCAAGCAGAGCGAGGTATGTTTTGTTTATTGTTTGATTTATTTGGAAAATGTTAGATGTTTTGTAAATGTTTGTTGTTTATTTTTCTATGTTGTTTGTTTGTTTGTTTTCTCTAGTTTTACGGTGCTTTGGTGCTTTTGGTGCCTTTGGTCTTTTGATGCTTCTGTGTATACAACAAAGAACTGAGACGATGATTTATGTGATGAGCTTTATTGCATCCAAGTAAACCTTTTTAAATGCACCCGTCAAAAACTCTCTGCCTATTCTTTGAAAGCTGAAGGGCTGCTACAATGCCAAAGATGCTATTATTTTCATTTTGGGGTGAACTGTCCCTTCAATTCAAGTGTCAAGCAATAGTCATAAAAACTGATGTGTCGCTTGAGGAAAACTAAATCAAGTACCTTCTTTGAACAAGCAGAATCATTATGCCATTGTATTCTGTGATTCTCTTTTACATTTTCCCACTATAAAATGATAGCTTCAACATGCAATCCATGTTAAGACAAAAATGAATAGCATAAAATAACATATTGAACTAAACTTACAGTTTCCAGGCTGTTTGAAAAAAAAAAACACATATACCCAGTAAAATTGCTAATAAACACAAAGACAACAGTTATAGAAAAAAATGTTTGTCTAATATTTACTCAGCACTTGGTAGGCAAATAGCATAGCCGTGGCTGTTTTAACACAAGATTTGTTTTTATCTTAGGAACTGCTGGAAGAAGAAAAAAGGTTGTACATGAAACTCCTCACAACAAATCTGTGAACAACTTGACATTTAAAAATCTAATCAAAATGAGGAAGACATCAACATTACCTTGAATAATAAAGTGAGGAGTGATTGGTAGCATCAGTTTTTCAACATCAATTACTGCAGCTGAAAAACAGATAAATATAATAAGAGTAAAATAAGACTTAACATTAATTAATCTAAATCTATGGTACAACCATACCAATCTGTATGGGGTTAAAATACATTTGTACACAAATCATTCCCTGACCCCATCAATTTCTCTTAGAATAGGATGGATATATATATATATATATATATATATATATATATATATATATATAGTGATAATGACTTTGGCTTACATCTGTGTACTCAGAACGTACACTCACCTCAGGTACACCTGAACACCAAAAATTAAATGTACAATTAATGACACACTATACATCAAGCTCATTAACATTATTGAGAAATAGACAATTAATATGTATTTTGTTAATATTAAAGTTAGCTTAAAATAATTCAACTGCATTTAATTTTCAGCTCCATTTAATAAAACAGTTAAGACTCATTTCATTATGAGTTTAGTTTAAATAACTAACTTACCGTTGAAAAATTTTACCATAATGATAGCTTAGTCATAATGACTATGTGAAGACCAGAGCTTACCTTAACGGTAACGTTAAAGGTTTAACTTTTCATGGTGACTTCGCCTTCATCTCAGTGTTGTGCTGAAATAGAGAATGCATTAATGCAGTTACAATAAGTTAAAGTTATTTTTTATTCAGGTAACTTAACGTATGGTCAAAAACTCACTCAAGATAAACTCACTGTATCTAAATACCTCGCAAACACTACAATGACCGCCTGGCGTCTGTTATTTCTTGTTTAAAATACCTTTCGTTAACGGACAGCGTGACACAACATAAGAACCTAACGTTACAACTAATGTCACTTGGTTAATTCTTTTAAATTACACACACAATACACAGAAATATATACAAAACAATCCTTCAACGGACAGAGTTTGACTTTAAAACACTTACCGAGGATGAATTCGCTGGATGAAAGACGACAGGTGAATTTCAAATTAGGAGAGCCGTTGCCTGCATGTCGAGTCGTGTCCGTTCGGTTCTATGAATCGGCTCCTTAGTGAACAGTAAAGAATCGAATCCGCCTAAAACCGATTCCTTGTTGTATATGATTCATTACTATTTCGTTATACTGCTTGGCCACACGCATTTATACACTAATTATACACTAATTGCATATTGCTGAGTGTGCTTGTGAACACGTGTGATCAAATAATTCCCGAGCAAACGGTTCAATTCGGTTCAATACGATTCAGAGTCGCTCGAGTGCTGAACCGAACCAGTGCAAACGTGATATTGATTACAATATAGTAACATTGTTTTTTATTCATTTTACCAGCGAAATTATTACATATATCTGACCTTGACAATACGAATAAAGTTCGTTTGAAGTGTTTTGAAAATTATATATAAATATATATATATATATTTTTTCTCCCAGAATTCATTTCACATCAACAAGCAAATGGTAATGGCGGATGAGAAAGCCCAGCTAATATTATAAATATTGCGTTTAATATGTCACGAAATGAAATTTTAACAGTGTTTCATGCGAGAATGTAGTTCTTACAAACTCAAATCTGTGGTTTATTTATAGATATCATGTGTAAATTTTAAGCGTGCTTTGCCGATAGCGGAGATTCTGACCTCCAGGGTGTCCATCATCACTCATGTATCCGGCGAAACGAGGTTATAATCGGCTAGACATGTGAGACTTCCCCCAGTCTTAGATGGCTCTATAATGAATGTGTTATGAAATTTAGTTTTAACCGTTTTTCATGCGGTAATGTAGTTGTTTTAAACTCAAGTCTGTGGTTTATTTATAGAGATGGTGGGTATTTTAAAATATTGTTTTGAAAATGCGGAGATATGTGACCTCCATGGTGATGACGAGTGCCCTAACCTCATGAATCCGTCTAAAGCAGGCTGGTCATTATGACATTTAAGCTGACTTTGGTTTCATGAATCAATTACTTTTGTTCCAGTTTACGTTTTGGTTAAGCACAAAGTTATGTTGATTAAAAATGATTTAATATTTTCATGTTAACCTTATAAAATTAAGGTGCAGTACACCCAAATATGGAAAACCAGGGGACAGCTTTATGCACTGAACAGTCTGAAGAAACTGGTTATTTTATTTTTCTTCACAAAATAATTTGTCAAAAAATAAAATAAACATAATAATAATAATATAAAGTGTGTGTAGAGTTTTTCATGGTCATTTGCAGTACTGTATTTAGATGCACAGTAACTGATTTTTTCCCAAAATTCATTGTAAAATCTGCAGTAGCATACTGTTAATCATGTTCACAGTATGGAAATGTTGAGAATACATTATCATGCTGTGAAAACAGCAATATATACAGTAACACACTGTGCACAGCTTATACAGTAAACAACTGTTGAGAAATGCAGTATAATACCGTGAAAACAACAGAAATCGTTTACAGTGTAGATAAATATGTGTAGATGTCATATGTAGAAAGCTAGTGAATAAAGTGCTAATTTTAAGGACTTCGATAACAAAATAAATGTTATACAACCTATTTTTATTTCAGTGCAACATCTTCCAAAAGGTCAGGGGCTTTTGACAATACATCAGGGGCTTAAGCCCCCAAAGCTCCCCCTTGCAACACCATTGGGCAGATTAGTAAATTTGCATCATGGATGTGTGGCTGACAGATCAGCTGTGTGATACTTTAATAATGTTGATATGGACCAAAGTCTCTGAGCAATGTTTCTAACCTTTGTGAATATATGCCACAAAAATAAGGTTGTTAATGCAATCAAGTGTCTAACTGAGTACTAGCAAAGTTTACATAGATCTCAAGTTTAATTTTCACACTAGGCTATGTTGTTTCGGCTGTGGAGGAAAACCTGGAGAAAAAAAGCTTCAGATATCAAACCTTACAGGTCCACAGGTCACGTACCATCCCAAAATCCCACAAGAGGTCCGTTCTCAGTAGTATCGTGGAAATACACAGATATACATCCGAACATCGATATCCAGTTGGCCAAAATCCCATTAAGAGCTAGATAAAGACAATCAAGAGGAGTGTTTCTGTAAACAGGCTGTGTGTGTAACATGGGCACCATTTAAAGGGAAGAGTAGCTCAAGATGAACAAGTGTCCTGATATTTCAAAGCCATCCCAGAAGTAGCCAGCCTCCTTGCACATGTCTATTGTGATCATAATACCAGGGATTTCTTCCATGGTTTTGGAGTCGTAGCATAAACCTGTAATGTCTTCAATGCAGAAAAAGATCTCAGTGCAAATGTACCAAATGAGGGTTGCCACCAGTAGTGACGTCAGCCGCCTCAAAGCAAACATGTGGCCTTTGATGTAAAAGTAGGAGTAAGCTATAACAGGCAGAAGCAAAACAATGGTTAATGGTGTTTTCAAAAAACATTTCTACTGTCACTTAGCTCTCTGGCACAAGGTCTGCCATTTTCAAAAACGAGCCTGTGAATGAAATACAAAAGAATAAATGTGGTAAATAAGTACAGGTGTAAGACTGTCTCCAAAGACAAGACAAATTGTCAACTAAGCTGCCTGCAACAGCAGCAGCCATGTTGTTCTGCGTGTGCGTTTCAATGTGAAAGAGAAACCAACTATGAATCAAACTTTTTTGACATTGTTAAATATTATTCATGAGCAACACTATATCGCTATTGGAAAGGTTCATTTCCATAACCTAGTTAATATTCAAGAGTAAAACATCTGCCATAGGAGGATTGGTAAATCAGACGAATACTATCTGATTAATATTTATGAGCAAAACCTTTGATCTATAGTGTCAATGATAAATAATATTAAATTTCTTCCACAGATCAGGAGCCATGGGTGTTTTGTCTATAAATGATTTTAATTATTACTTTTTTGATTTGTTGGTTGACTATTAAAAAGCTATTAGGCATTGGCTTGCAATTAACGAATCATTAACAATAATTACATTAACAATAAGTGATTGAAAGTTTAAGCTAAAAAGAAAACAATTACAGTAACTGACTGTTACATTTAATAAAACAGATAGTGTGCAGTGTGAAATTATTGATTAAAATGGTTGTAATTATTGTAACCTGCTTGTTTTGAAAACAATGTGTTTGGTATGATTTAGGATTTCGGAAACTCAGAAAGTTCCACAGACCTGCCCTTGTTGCACTCCATATTGGCTGGTGTGTATTTGTTCAAAGGCACGAGTTTCCAAGAACGTGTGCCATTTGGCCAAGATGTTTCTCTACTCTGCCTCCACATATTGTGCCAGACGGAGCAGTCTGACAGGATGTTAAATACTGGTGTTTTAAAGTGATTGCAAAGTGATTGCCATGAATTTAAAATATTCTGGAACCTTAGAAACAATTACCGCTGGGAGTAGACCAGGTGTATTTGGATCCTTAATTCAGTCAATAAATCCAGTATGAGCACTA